AAAACAGACCCTGCACCCCAAAACAGACCCTGTATCCCAAAACAGACCCTGACACCCCAAAAACAGACCCTGTATCCCAAAACTGACCCTGCACCCCCAAAATAGACCCTGAACTCCCAAAAAAACCCCTGCACCCCAAAACAGACCCTGCACCCCAAAACCAGACCCTGAACCCCTAAAAGAGACCCTGAACCCCCAAAACAGAGCCTGAACCCCCAAAATAGACCCTGAACCCCCAAAAAAGACCCTGCACCCCAAAACAGACCCTGCACCTCTGAACATACCCTGAACCCCAAAACAAACCCAGAACCCCCCAAAACGGACCCTGCACCCCAAACAGACTCAGAACCCCCAAAATAGCCCCCTGCACCCCAAAACAGATCCAGAAACCCCCAAACAATCCCTGCACCCCAAAACCAGACCCTGCACCCCCCCAAACAGCCCCTGCCCCCCAAACCAGACCCTGCACCCCCCCCAAACAGCCCCTGCCCCCCTGCCCCCCTGTACCTGCTCGTTGACCGTCAGCAGCGGCTCCGGGGGCTGCCCGGGCCGGGGGTCCATGGTGGGGGCACGGGGGGCACACGGGGGGCACACGGGGGGCACGGGGGTCACACCTGCCACATCCTGGGGGGACAAGGGGGTGTCACCTCCTGGGGACGGGTTTGGGGGTCCCCAGGAGGGGTTTGGGGGTCTCCAGGGGGGGTTTGGGGGTCCCCAGGGGGACAAGGATGGGGTGCCACCTCCTGGGGACAGGTTTGGGGTCCCCAGGGGGACAGGGAGGGGCTGTCACACCCAGGGAGGGGTTTGGGGGTCCCCAGGACAGGTTTGGGGGTCCCTAGGAGGGGTTTGGGGGTCCCCAGGGGGACAGGGAGAGGCCATCACACCCGGGGAGGGGTTTGAGGGTCCCCAGGACAGGTTTGGGGGTCCCCAGGACAGGTTTGGGGTCCCCAGGAGGGGTTTGGGGGTCCCCAGGGGGACAGGGATGGGATGTCACCCCTGGGGAGGGGTTTGGGGTCCCCAGGAGGGGCTTGGGGGTCCCCAGGGGGACAGGGATGGGATGTCACCCCTGGGGAGGGGTTTGGGGTCCCCAGGAGGGGTTTGGGGGTCCCCAGGGGGCGAGTTGGTGCTTGGGGTCCCTCTCAGCCCCTTTGAAACCCTAAAACCACCCAAAACCCTAAACCCTGAAATGCCTAAAACCCAGGTTTGGCCCAGGCGAGCCCGAGGCAGGTCCCTAAATGTCACCCAGAACTGGGACCCCAAACTGGAATTGGGACCCCAAACTGGGACTGGGGTCCCAAACTGAAACTGGGACCCCAAACTGGAATTGGGACCCCAAACTGGAATTGGGACCCCGAACTGGGGCTGGGACCCCAAACTGGGACTGGGGCCCCAAACTGAAACTGGGACCCCAAACTGGAATTGGGACCCCAAACTGGAACTGGGACCCTAAACTGAAACTGGGACCCCAAACTGGGACTGGGACCCCAAACTGGGACTGGGACCCTAAACTGAAACTGGGACCCCAAACTGGGACTGGGACCCCAAACTGGGACTGTGACCCCAAACTGGGCCTGGGCCCCCGAATGGAAAGGGGGAAGGGGGAAGGGAATCCTGTGGGGTTTGGGGTCCCAGGGACTCACCCCCCGTTTGCTCCGGGGTGAGGGACCCTCCTGCAGGACACGGGGCCGGAGGGGCTCCCGCTCTCCGGGACGGGATCAAAGCTCCGGCTTTGGGGGCTCCCGGGTTTTGGGGCTCCGGCTCTCGGGGTTTCAGGGTTCCCAAGTTTCAGAGTTCCCAGGTTTCAAAGTTCCCAAGTTTCAGGATTCCCAAGTTTCAGGATTCCTGGGATTCAGAGTTCCCGGGTTTCAGAGTTCCCGAGTTTCAGAGTTCCCAAGTTTCAGAGTTCCCAGGTTTCAGGGTTCCCGGGTTTCAGGGTTCCCAGGTTTCAGAGTTCCCAAGTTTCAGAGTTCCCAGGTTTCAGGGTTCCCAGGATTCCAAGCTCTGGTTCTCTGGATTTTGGGGCTCCCAGGTTTCGGGGCTCCCAGGGTTTGGGGCTCTGGTTCTCCAGGTTTTGGCGCTCCCAGGATTCCGAACTCTGGCTCTCTGGAATTCCGTGCTCCAGCTCTCAAGGTTTCAGAGTTCCCGGGTTTCAGGGTTCCCAAGTTTCAGGATTCCCAAGTTTCAGGATTCCCAGGTTTCTGGGATTCCAGGCTCTGTCTCTCTGGGTTTCAGCATTCCCAGGTTTCAGCGTTCCCAGGTTTCTGGGTTCTGGATTTCTGGGATTCCAGGCTCTGGCTCTCTGGGTTTCAGCATTCCCAGGTTTCTGGGTTCTGGATTTCTGGGATTCCAGGCTCTGGCTCTCTGGGTTTCAGTGTTCCCAGGTTTCTGGGTTCTGGCTGTCTGAGTTTCCTGGTTCTGGAATTCCGTGCTCCAGCTCTCTGGGGTTCTGGGCTCCCAGGATTCCAGGCTCTGGCTCTCCAGGTTTCAGGGTTCCCAGATTTCAGAGTTCCCAGATTTCAGTGTTCCCAGGTTTCAGAGTTCCCAGATTTCAGTGTTCCCAGGTTTCAGGGCTCTCAGGTTTCAGAGTTCTGGTCCTCTGGGATTACAGGCTCTGACTCTCTGGGATTCAGAGTTCCCAAGTTTCAGGGTTCCCAGGTGTCAGGATTCCCGGGTTTCAGGATTCCCAGTTTTCAGGGTTCCCACGTTTCAGGGCTCCCAAGTTTCAGGATTCCCGGGTTTCAGGATTCCTGGGTTTCAGGGTTCCCAAGTTTCAGCGTTCCCAGGTTTCAGAGTTCCCGGGTTTCCAGGCTCTGTCTCTCTGGGTTTCAGCATTCCCAGGTTTCAGCATTCCCAGGTTTCAGCGTTCCCGGGTTTCAGCGTTCCCGGGTTTCTGGGATTCCAGGCTCTGGCTCTCTGGGTTTTGGGATTGTGGGCCCCAGCTCTCTGGCTTTTGGGGTTCCCAGGTTTCAGGCTCTGCTTCTCTGGGTTTTAGGGCTCCTGAGGTTTGGTGTTCTGGCCTTATGGGATTCCAGGCTCTGGCTCTCCGGGTTTTGGGATTGTGGGCCCCAGCTCTCCGGGTTTTGGGGTTCCGGGCTCCAACTCTCCGGGTTTTGGGGTTCCTGGGTTTCAGGCTCTGCTTCTCTGGGTTTTGGGGTTCCTGGGTTTCAGGGCTCCAGCTCTCC